AAAAAAGTATTGAAAATGACGACTGAATGAAAATCCAAGTATTGCTTTAAAAACAGGATTACATCTGATTTAAGACTACCTGCATTGCAGTATGTAATGTTGTGAAGGATAAGTAGATCTTATAATTGGTTTTGGCATTAATGAAGATCTTAGTCTATAAAAGTTCATACATACCAGTACATTTGGGAAGAGGTTCATAACATGCTTCATTCTTTCTTCATATGTTTAACTTTTTATCTGGTTCATTACCAGGGGCGGACTGACAACTCATGGGGCCCCTGGGCAATAGGGGATCATGGGGCCCCTGTGTCCTTGCCCAAACTCAAAAAAGCCTATGAAAAAGGTACCAGGGGCATCTCATGGGGCCCCCTACTGACCCTGGGCCCTCGGGCAGTGCCCGAGTTTCCAAATGGTCAGTCCGCCCCTGTTCATTACTATTTCTTATGCAGCCCTAAATTCTCTTTATTTAATTCACTTTTACTATCCTTTTCATCCAATTTTCCCTCTTTTTATTATTTAGTTTCCTATTGGGACCTCTTCCCAGTTAGTAACTACAACCACCTCAATGCAATACATGCACTGCCACATTTACTGCTTCACTAGGGAATAAGTGCTCTCTGCATGTGCAAATTTTTTTTGGTGCAAAATCATCATGGCCACTACATCAATGGCTCCTCTAAGCAGGACTTTCCTATTAGGATGGACACCAGGGAAAGTATTACAATGCAGCAAGGCAAAAAGTCTGTTTTTTTGGTTTTGAACTCCCACCAGAACTTTTTTTTTGTGTATGCAAAGGGTAGAGAAGGTTTAGAATCTCTGCCAGTTTTTTATTGATGTCTGTGGCTTTGTAAGGGAGATTTGCACTCACTTCCCAGCCCCATCATTTTAAAATAAGGAAACCTCTTTGACAGCAGCACTATAGCAATAAAACATATATTTAGAAGAGTGGCTATACCATTCTTCAGCTTTTTTTAAATTAAAATGGTGCTGCCCCTACTAGTATGCTCTTTTATATAAATAAAATGCAGCGCTATTAATATATCATAAATGGTAATGATAAGACACAGTCCAGTAAAAGGTGCTCGTTGATTCCCGGTGCAAATGATAGAAATGCGCACTAACCAGAAGCGTATAGGTAATACGCATGTGAATATAATCCTGAAGATTCCCCTCTCCTTTCTGGTCTGATCACAGGAATAGCTGGAAAGAATGAAGATCAAGCGCACTCGTGTGGTGAAAATGTGGTCCAGCAGGTCAGAGAAATCTTTACCAAGATATAGTTCCCCCTCTCAGGAGCTGACACAGGAATCACTCAGGGCTGTAAAGGTTGAAGAAGCTCCTGATAAAAACGCATTGACTCCTGCTGCTCTTCTCTGGGTAAATGCATCTATTTCCTATCTCCGCTCTTAACTCTAGCTGCACTCAGGTTTACGACTGTAGACTGTTGGGAACAGGCTACAGTCGTAAACCTGAGTGAAGCTAGAGTTAGAGCAGAGATAGGAAATAGATGCATTTACCCAGAGAAGAGCAGCAGGAGTCAATGCGTTTTTATCAGGAGCTTCTTCAACCTTTACAGCCCCGAGTGATTCCTGTGTCAGCTCCTGAGAGGGGGAACTATATCTTGGTAAAGATTTCTCTGACCTGCTGGACCACATTTTCACCACACGAGGGCGCTTGATCTTCATTCTTTCCAGCTATTCCCGTGATCAGACCAGAAAGGAGAGGGGAATCTTCAGGATATTTATTCACATGCGTATTACCTATACGCTTCTGGTTAGTGCGCATTTCTATAATTTGCACCGGGAATCAACGAGCACCTTTTACTGGACTGTGTCTTATCATTACCATTTATGATATATTAATAGCGCTGCATTTTATTTATATATATATTTCTTGGGACTTTTATGCGTTTTCCTTGAATGTTCAGCTCCTAATTATTGAGAGCGCTCACTATATTTTTTCAATTTTCCTAGTACGCTCTTTTGTTGTGATTATAAAAAGTCCAGGTGTCTAGTCATACAGAAAGATCCTAGGCAGACATTAAGAAACAAGTAATCTTTTTGCCCCTTCCACTGACCTAACCTAACACACCTCACCCCTCCACCAACACATACCTGCTTCAATCCAACAGTCTTGGTATGTTTGGTTACATTCAGTGCTGAAAGTCTCACTCTCCTGGCCACACCTGGTTAGAACACCCCAGGGTAGGGAGCAAAAAATAGCACACCTTGTTTTAAAGTGCATTTATCATTTTGAAAGCACATATTTTCTCTGTAAATGTTCACAGAAACCATGAAAAATACTGTATGTCCTATTCAGCTTATGAACAGCAGCCTGCATGTCTCATGCACACCATAGGGACGCAGGCTGTAAATCAGAGCCAGCAGATCAAAAAGATCTCTGCTCTCTGCAGAGAAGTAAGAATACATCAGAGGCCAAGAGAAGTGATTAGAGATTAAAATGATTATGAAGTTAAGAATATGTATCCACTTGAGGGATGAAAAGGTTTTCTATCCTGCCTGCAATTACCTTTAGCTTAGGCTGCTAATGAATTTTTCCTCTTAATCCACCAAAGATCTGCATGTGTGTGCCTAGCTTTTTTTTATGGTGAAACAGTTTGGACAAATAATTACAAAAGTGTTTTTGGACCCTGCTCTTGAAACTCCCGCCCAATCCTAAAGAGCTTATTTGCTGGTATTAACACTGAAGGGGGCCTGAAAACTCATGGCTCCTTTGCTATAGGGCTGCCAGCCTGCTCACTGTAAGACTTTTTTTTTAATAAAAAAAACCTTAGGTGGATTGGCTTATAACTGCCATATACAAGTGTATGTGTGACCTGGGCCATCTATTCAGTCCTGACCAATCGGTTTAGTCATTCCAACCTTCCAGTTTAACTCAAAATCTGTGGAGACTTAAGTGGGGAATGTAATGGTTGTGCATAATGGGCACACGAATAGCTGTGTGTGTGGCAACCATTTTGTCCGCATCCTTCAGTTTATACAATACACAAACTGTTAACTGATCCCAGGACCTTGTTATCAATCCATTGATGGGACACCCAGACCTCTCCATTAGCCCAACCCACCATTCCAGTCTGGGAAACCTAATAAAACTGTCACCCTCGCAAGCTTTAGCAATCCGAAGAACTACCAAATATTGCGTCATAAATATCTTAATGGAAGTCTGTAGAGAAACACATTTCTGACTCTAAAACTTCAGCATGTTTCCTAACTTCTGAAATTTTGATAGTATATCAAGAATAAAGTCATATTCACCTTCAGTTATTGGGTAGCATTTTGAACCCAAACACCCCTATGCTAGGAGGTACCACAGTAGATTAGGCCTCCACACACCTCCTATGAAAAATTGATCTCTGAAACCTGTCATATCTATATCCATTTTGAAGGTAATTTTATGCTGGACAATAATCTGCAATGTAACAGATGGTAAATGGTTGGAATTCAGAAATATGAATACTTATAAGAAACTATATTTGGGACTTGGTCATAAATGTGGTGACCTCCCAGCACCCACCCCTTAAAACAGAAGACTGGTCAGATAGTCTCTGTCAACACCCCCCCTTGATGTTCGATAAAGAGATTGCAAGCAGATTTGACAGCTCTCATTTTAATATCAACCAAGGAACACCAAATCAGACTTGAGAGCCACTGTACTGCTTTTGCTTGATCAATTGGACTCTGCTAAAGGACTTTGCAAATATTCTTCATTTTCAACTACTTTTTAATTCTCTATTGCTTTATTGTCTCTTTGTTTCCATGTAACGCCTTTTTTCTTTAAATATTCTATTTGCACCATTCTAACCTTTTTCATTAACCTTTTCCATATTTGGAAAAGTGTTGAAATTGTCTCTGAAGCTTTTAATGCAAACAAAAGAATCCCTGTCTCTTGAAGAGTGCTACTGTATAATGATAAATCCCTGAATATCCAGGTATGTGGTGACAGTGTGTTTCCAGATGTTTATTTTTCATATTTGTTCTTGCTAAAATTGTGAGTTTCCGCTTTCTCAGTCAAAATGTGGGTTTGGTATCTTAACCACTTCCCGACTGCCCCATAGCAGAAGTACTGCTACAGGGTGACAGGGATGCGCAAAATCACGTATATGTACGTAATTTTGTATTTCCGGGTATGGAGCACACGCGCACTGCTATTGGCTCCTCGGCATGTCAGTCACCGGGTCCTGGACACCAATTCTTGTCCGGGACTCGGTGATCGTCGGCGGAGCCGACTGGGGAGAGGTCTGTACAGCAATACAGATCTCTCCCCTGTCAGCACAAACAGGCTGCTTTGTATTGCTCTGCACAACAGAGCAATACAAAGCAGCTTGTTTCCCTAGTAAAACACACACAGCACACATAGTGAAACAGAACACAGTTAACCCTTTTTGTGTTTTCAAAATTGTTGGGTTTTTTTTGTTCATAGTGCAAAAAATTAAAAATGCACAGGTGATCAAATACCACCGAAAGGAAGCTCTATTTGTGGGGGAAAAAAAATGACATAAATTTCATTTGGGTGCAGCATTGCATGACCGCGCAATTGTCAGTTAAAGTAATGCAGCGTTGTATCACAAAAAATGACCTGTACAAGAAGGGGGGTAAATCCTCTGGAGGGCAAGTGGTGAAATAGTTAATTGCTTAACCCCTTGCCTACTGTGTACTTTTACCCCCTTCCTTCTCAGGCCAATTTTCAGCTTTCAGCGCTGTCGCACTTCGAATGACAATTGCGCAGTCATGCAACACTGTACCCAAACTAAATTTGTATTATTTTTTTGAGACAGATAGAGCTTTCTTTTGGTGGTATTTTATTTGGGGTTTTTATTTTTTGCTAAACAACAACTAAAAAAGCCTGAAAATTTTGAAGAAAAATTTTTTTTCTCTTAGTTTCTGTTATAAAATTTTGTAAATAAGTAATTTTGCTCCTTCACTGATGTGCGCTAATGAGGCTGCAGTGATGGGCACTGATAGGCGGCACTGATGAGAAGGCACTGATAGGCATTGACAGGCATCACTTGTGGGCATTGACAGGCATCACTGATGGGCACTGAAAGGCAGCACTCATATATGGCACTGATAGGCGGCACTGATGGGCACTGGTAGGCGGCACTGATTGGAACTGTTAGGCGGCACTGATGGGCACTGATATGCATTGATAGATGGCACTGATAGGCGGCACTGACTGCCAGCACTGATGATCAGTGTAGATGTTCCCTCTGAGGAATGCCGATTACCGGCTCTCATCTCTTAACGAGCTGTCAGCAGGAGGAGAGGACTGCCGATAACCGGCATTACCTATTTACATGTGACCAGCTGTGATTGGACACAGCTGATCACATGACAGAGCCAAAATCATCAGCTCTTTACAGTGATTGGTGATCCGCTGTGACCGAGGGACACAGCGCATCACCGATCGCCGTGCCGCGCACCTCCGAGGGCGCACATGCAAGTTAGAGTGGGAGGACATCATATGACCTCCCACCAGAACGAGAGAACCGCCGCTCGGCCGTCATTACCTTATATGGCAGGCAGGAGGCAGTTAATTGATTTAACCCAGTGACAATCGATCTCAGGCTGCCGGCACCTAGATTGTGGTCCTCCAAATGGGAAAATTTTTGTGCAGGGTGCAGCTGAGAGTGGCATTGTTACGTAAGTGACAGCATGGTGTGAGATTGGCTTGTCCTTTGTCACAAGTTTGTGAAATAGGCAGGGGTCAGGCACTGACAGGGAGTTCTTTCCTTAAAGCTCTACCTTTTCGCTACCCAAGTATAGATGAAACACAGTGCTGTCACATGGCACATTGAGGACCCTTCACATATCCCTATAGAGAATCAAGCAGGTACAATGACCAGTTGTTCACTGTTATTTTCCAATAGGTAAAGGGAAAAATTTATTCACACAAAGGCCTAGTTCACACCATACGTGCAGAAAAACTGATGGAAACTGATGCACATATTTCACTCGCAGAGACATCAGTTTACATCAGTTTTCATGCACGCTTCAATGAGCTTTATATACGTTGGAGATTCCAATGCACAAAATAATCTGCACACAATACTATTGTTGTGGTGTGAACAGGGCACATAGAGAACAAATGATTTTGTTGTGGCCTTGCAGAACGCGTGCCTAAAAAAATGACATCTCTGCATCATGGTGTGAACAAGCCCTTAATGTACCTTCACAATGATTTGAGCATTGTATTAGGTAGTGAGGTGCAAATATTGTTTAGGTAATGGGCTTATTTTTTTAATAATCTTTGGTGGAGATTAATAGTCATGGTGACCAGAGGCATTATTACAGACCATGGCAAACTGGGTCAACACCTTTCTCTGATCCCTAAATATTTTTTTTTTAAACAGTAGCAAAAGAGCAGTCTGTCACATACCTGGTGGAGATCGAGTTGCAGAGGGGGCTTCTCCTGCACCTCTTGTCCAACATGCCTGGTAGTGATGAGAGGAGGTGTGAGGACAAGATGGCTGGTGTAACAGGCAGCGCCAGCTGGTGTTTGCAGGTAGCAGATCACCATAGATCACCAGGAAGGAACCAGAAACTGGAACACAGTGACACTTGATCGGCAGACAGGAGCGTAGCCAAGACACAATCCAAAAAGTCATCAACAGCTGGGCAGTGAGGTATAGGAACATCAGGCAGAGGCAGAGTCAGGATACAAGCTGAGATCGGTACACAGTCAAGCAGAGAGGTGCAGAAACACAAGACAGGAGCAAAGTCAAAATACAAGCCAAGATCACAGCGGGTGGGCAGAAATCCAAAGACTGGTGAGGAGCAAGCCAAGTCATACATGGGTAGGCAGATAAGGCAGGTCAAGGCTCAGGTTAAGCAGGAACTAGCTGAAGACCATTCAGCAATCCAAGTCATAGCCCAGCTTAAATAGACCAATTGGTGCCAGTGCTCATGAGGATGTACACGCAGTAATATGTTTGTGCATGTGTGCTAATGCCCATTTTGCATGGAGCCTTTGCTCAGAATTATGAGCATGCCCTTGAACATGAGCACGTGACAGTCTTCTGACTTCTCTTACACTCTATCTGTCCCATACTGCCAGTATCTGTCTATCTTTGCTTGTATTCCTGCCCCCATCTTTACTGAAGCAGTTGTTCCCCTGGCAGCTAGGGAATGTATTCTGCTCCAGCAATACCACTCCTGAGCTGATATCCCCAATATCATGAAACCAGGCATATTTATTAGTATATCACAACAATAAAGCAAAAACAGGCCACCAAAAATGACACAAATTACCGGTGTCATTAGCATATCTCCGACTCACTTGTATAAGTGTGGATACAAAAACCCAAAAACTACATACTAAACAATATGGTAGTGTGACAAGAACACCCCTACCTAAAAAAGCAGGTTACTAGATGATCCACGCGGAGTAATATGAATTCAAAAGAATTTTTAACAATACTTTATTTGATCACATAGATCATAGGGAGGTTAAACATAAGCACGGTGTACAAATGAAAAAAATAAAATCATGTTAAAAAACACTTAGCGTCTTCAATTTAGGGTCATCTTAGCAAATAGAGCACCATATAAGGCAGAGTTGTGTAATGATGCGATAGTTATCCTGGATTTCCGTGGGTTTCCCACTTAGATTCGAGTAAACCATGTGTTCAACAGATGTGTTCCCCATATATGTCAGGGACCTCCTGGAATGTAAGAACTGGAACACAAAAATACATAATGTATGTATAGGAATATGAAAACCAATTCACATCCAAAAATCACCAGGCCTCCCTCCACATTAGTCAATGGATGCTACTATTACCTTCTCAATAATGAGACTGTCATGCCCGCTTCTCAAATGTAGGGACTTCCTGGATAGCCACCCTAAATAAAACAAGGTCCACAGTACCAAATGATTCTGAGGATATATATAGAGAAAAAATGATAAATATATAGATCATAGGCATCAAGTGACCCCAAAAACAAAACACACACAAAATGTGGATATATTACCATCAATAAAGATCAAGAGGACTCCTGTCAACTTGAATTAGGATCAGGTCCTTGATGCTTTTCCAAAGATGCATATGGGGGTGAGGAGCCAGGTAGTCACAGTGCGTGGATTCCAAACACATATATAATGTGTATGTAGCATATAGCAGGCCGTAGATACCTAAGTTTAATATACCCAATACAGGGTTTCCAAAAATTGCTCAATTTGAGAAGGTTATTGCGGTTTTATAAGGATGTGGCTGTGTCACAGCAAAGAATGCCTGAATAGGATAGCGTATATATGTATATACAGTTGCAAGAAAAAGTATGTGAACCCCTTGGGATTACGTAGAGTTTTGCATTGAATTGGGCATAAAATGTGCTCTGAACGTCATCTAAGTCACAACAATAGAAGAATACAGTCTGTTGAACATAATACTACACAAACATTAGATGTTGCCATGGTTTAATTGCACATAACATGTAAACATTCACAGTGCAGGGAGGAAAAAGTATGTGAACCTTTGGACTTAATAACTGGTTGGCCCTCCTTTGGCAGCAATAACCTCAACCAAACGTTTCCTGTAGTTGCAGATCAGACCTGCACAACGATCTGGAGTCATTTTGGACCACTCCTCTTCACAAAACTGTTTCAGTGTAGCAATATTCTTGGGATGTCTGGTGTGAATCGCTCTCTTAAGGTCATGCCACAGCATTTCAATCGGGTTGAGGTCAGGACTCTGACTGGGCCACTCCAGAAGGCGTATTCTGTGCTGTTGCAACCATTGTTTTGTTGAATTACTTGTATGCTTTGGGTCATTGTCCTGTTGCATCACCCATCCTCTGCGGAGCTTCAGTTGGCGGACAGATGGTTGTACGTTTTCCTGCAAAATGTCTTGATAAACTCTGGAATTCATTTTCCCATCAATGACAACAATCCGTCCAGGCCCTGAGGCAGCAAAGCAGCCCCAAACTATGATGCTCCCTCCGCCATGTTTTACAGTGGGGATGAGGTTTTGATGTTGGTGTGCTGTGCCTTTTTTTCTCCACACATAGTGTTGTGTGTTCTTCCCAAACAACTCAATCTTGGTGTCATCTGTCCACAGTATATTTTGCCAGTAGTGCTGTGGAACATCCAGGTGCTCTTTTGCAAACTTCAAACGTGCTGCAATATTCTTTTTGGACGGCAATGGCTTCCTCCGTGGTGTCCTCCCATGTACTCCATTCTTGTTTAATGTTTTCCTTATTGTAGATGTGTCAACAAAATGTTAGCATGTGCCAGAGATTTCTGTAGGTCTTTAGCTGACACTCTGGGATTCTTCTTTACCTCATGCAGCATTCTGCGCTGTGCTCTTGCAGTCATTTTTACAGGACGACCACACCTAGGGAGAGTAGCAACAGTGCTAAACTTTCTCCATTTGTAGACAGTCTGTCTTACCGTGGACACATGAACATCAAGGCTTTTGGAGATACTTTTGTAACCCTTTCCAGCTTGATGCAAGTCAACAATTCTTGATCGTAGGTCTTCTGAGAGCTCTTTTCTGCGAGGCATGGTTCACATCAGACAGTGCTTCTTGAAACCAGTAAACCCAAAACAGGTGTGTGTTTTTTTTAAGGGCAGGACAGCTGTCAGCAAACACATCCAATATCATCACACTGATTGGAGTCAAGGTTGGCTCACTCCTGGCTCCAATTAGTTCTGGGAGAAGTCATTAAGCTAGGGCTTCACATACTTTTTTCCTCCCTGCACTGTGAATGTTTACATGTCATGTGCAATTAAACCATGGCAACATCTAATGTTTGTGTAGTATTATGTTCAGCAGACTGTGTTCTTCTATTGTTGTGACTTAGATGACACGTTCAGAGCACATTTTTATGCCCAATTCATGCAAAAAACTCCACGTAATCCCAAGGGGTTCACATACTTTTTCTTGCAACTGTACATGTAGATTATCCTCCAAAGAGGGTTTCCAAAAAATTCCCCGAGTATACAGGCTAAATTAGGCCCATAAAACATGCCCTATTGCCACTACATAGACTCTATAAATCTCAACAGCCGTAAGCTTTAAATAACTTGCCACCGGTGGAAGGTATGTTTCCCTGAGGGATTGCCGTTTTGCGAACCGCTGTAATAGTAGCCCAGTGGTAGTTCTCAGAGGGTCTTGGGCCTTCCTAGCAGGGAGCTGTGACACCCGCCGTTCCTTCCCGCCTCGTGGGCGCCGCACCCAGTGAAGACGCCAAGCGTAGTGACGTCTTTGACTAATGTGGAGGGAGGCCTGGTGATTTTTGGATGTGAATTGGTTTTCATATTCCTATACATACATTATGTATTTTTGTGTTCCAGCTCTTACATTCCAGGAGCCT